GCCCCTCCCCCACCCTGGAGTTTGGGGGGTGGGGGGGGGGGGGGGCGCTGGGAGACAGGGGGGGGGGGGGTCGTTGCCTCTGTTTTGGGGGGGGGCGGGGGAGGGGCGACGACCCTGAGAGAGCCCTTTGAGAGTGGGGGAGGGGCCCGTGAGCATGCGGGGCACGGGCGGGGCACGCGCGTGTGCAAGGGGCCGGGGGGAGGGGCGGGCGAGTGTGAGGGGGAGCGGGGGGAGGGGCGCGGGTGAGTGTGCGAGGGGGGAAATGGTGAGTGTGCAAGGTATAGGGCAGTGAGTGTGCAAGGGTGGTGTGAGTGTGCAAGGGGGAAATGGTGAGTGTGCAAGGGGGAACGGTGAGTGTGCAAGGGTGGCGTAAGTGTGCAAGGGGGAGTGGTGAGTGTGCAAGGCGGTCTGAGTGCGTGTACAAGGTGTGGTGCAGTGAGTGCGAGGGGGAACAGTGAGTGTGCAAGGGGGAATGGGGAGTGTGCGAGGTGTGGCACAGTGAGTGTGCAAGGGGGAATGGGGAGTGTGCGAGGTGTGGCACAGCGAGTGTGCAAGGTGTGGGGCAGTGAGTGTGCAATGGGGAACGGTGAGTGTGCAAGGGGGTGAGAGTGCGTGTGCAAAGTGTGGGGCAGTGAGTGCGCAAGGGGAATGGTGAGTGTGCAAAGGGCAGGGCTGTGGGTGAGCTGTGAGTGTGTAAGAGGGATGGGTGTGCGACCCACGAGTGTGCGAGAGAGCCTGGGTGGGTGTGCGAGGGGGAATTGGTGAGTGTGCAAGGGCTGGGGTGAGGGTGAGCTGTGAGTGTGCAAGGGTGCTGTGTGAGGGGGTTGAGTGTGCAAGGGAAGGGGCTGAGTGTGTCCGGTGAGTGTGCAAGGGCAGTGGGTGAGTGGGGTGAGTGTGCAAGGGGCGTGTCAGCACGTGTGTCAGGGAAGGGGTGAGCGTGTGACACACGTGTGTCAAGGGGAGTTATGTGTGTGACACGTGAGTGTGCAGGGGGCTGAGTGCATGACGTGAGTGTGCAAGGGAGGGAGGGGCAGGAGAGGTGAGGCACGTGAGTGTGCAAGGAACAGCTGAGCGTGGCACGTGAGTGTGCAAGGGGTGCAGACTAGGCGTGCAAGGAGTGCGTGTGAGCACGTGACAGTTGCGCGTGTGCAATGGACACGTGAGAGTGACACTTTTGCGTGCGTGTGAGCCTCGCACACGCGCGTGCACACGGCCGCCCTCACCCCCACACGCGTGTGCGAGCCTCGGAGGGGGCTCCCACCCCCCCCTTTGCACGCCCGGTCACACTCCCACGTCCCCTTGCACGCTCAGGGGCTCTTGCACGCCCGGCTGCGGATCCCGTTGCACACTCGGGGCCTCTTGCACGCCCGGCTCCTGCGGTACATTCGCCTCTCGTTGCACAATCATCGCCTCTTGCACAATCATGTTCTGTTGCACGCCCGTGTCTGCGGCCTGTTGCACGCTCAGCGGCTCCTCTCGCACGCCCGGCTCCCATTGCACGCCCGGGTCCGTGTCCTGCGGCGCGTGCGGCTCCCGGGGCACGCCCACGTGTCCTTGCACGCCCGGCTCCCGTTGCACGCCCATTTCCACGTCCCACCGCACGCTCGGAGCCGCTTGCACGCTCAGCTCCTGCTGCACGCTCAGCTCCACCTCCCGTTGCACGCTCGCCTCCCACTCCGCGCCCGGCTCCCGTTGCACGCCCGGCTCCCACTGCACGCCCAGCTCCAGCTGCCGTTGCACGCCCAGCTCCTGTTGCACGCTCAGCTTCCTCTGGATCTCCACCTCCCGTTGCACGCTCAGCTCCTGTTGCACGCTCAGCCGCCTCTGCGCCTCCAGCTCCCGTTGCACGCTCAGCTTCCGCTGCACGCTCAGCTCCCGGGGCACGCTCAGATCCCGCCGGGCTCCCACGTCCATCTCCTGTTGCACACTCAGCTCCCGTTGCACGCTCGCGTCCCAGCGGATGCCCACGTCCACGTCCCGGCGCCCGCTGTCCACGTCCCGTTGCACACTCAGCGCCCGCCGCACGCCCGCCCCTGCACGCGCGCCCCGGCCCCCCTGCATGCCCGCGTCCCCTTGCACGCCCGGGCCCCAGGGCACACTCAGGTCCTCTTGCACACCGAGATCCCCTTACACACTCGGATCCCATTACACACCTGGATCTGCTTGCACACCCGGATCCCATCACATTCCCATGTCCAGGTCCCGTTGCACACTCGGATCCTGTTGCACACCTGGATCCCATGGCAAGCCTGGATCCTGTTGCACACTCGGATCCCATCACATTCCCATGTCCAGGTCCCGTTGCACACTCGGATCCCGTTGCACACTCGGATCCCATTGCACACTCGGATCCCATCACATTCCCATGTCCAGGTCCCGTTGCACACTTGGATCCCATTGCACACCTGGACCCTGCTGCACACTGAGATCCTGTTGCACACTCGGATCCCATTGCACACTCGGATCCCATCACAATCCCATGTCCAGGTCTCATTGCACACTCAGATCCTGTTGCACACTCGGATCCGATCACATTCCCATATGCAGATTCTGTTGCACACTCGGATCCCGTTGCACACTCGGATCCCGTTGCACACTCGGATCCCATCACAATCCCATGTCCAGGTCCCGTTGCACACTCGGATCCCGTTGCACACCTGGACCGTGCTGCACACTGAGCTCCCGTTGCACACTCGGATCTTGTTGCACACCCGGATCCCATCACATTCCCATGTTCAGATCCTGTTGCACACTCAGATCCCTTTGAATACCGAGATCCCGTTGCACGCTCGGATTCTGTTGCACACTCGGATCCCGTTACATCCCCATATGCAGATCCCCTTGCACACCCGCCTCCCTTTGCACACCCAGATCCCATTGCACACCGAGATCCCATTGCACACTCGGATCCTTGTACAATCCTAAATCCAGATTCCGTGGCACACTCGGATCCCGTTGCACACCCGGATCCCATTGCATTCCTACATCCACACTTTGTTGCACGCCTGGATCCTGTCGCACACTCAGATCCCCTTGCACATTTGGATCCCGTGCCACACTCAGGTCCCGTTGCACACTCGGACCCCGTTTTACACCTGGATCCTGTTGCACACTCGGATCCTTTCACAGTCCTAAGTCCAGATCCTGTGGCACACTCGGATCCCGTTTTACACCTGGATCCCGTTGCACACTCGGATCCCGTTTTACATCTAGATCCTGTTGCACACCTGGATCCTGTGGCACACTTGGATCCTGTTTTACACTTGGATCCTGTTGCACACCTGGATCCTGTGGCACACCTGGATCCTGTTGCACACTCGGATCCTGTTTTACACCTGGATCCCGTTGCACACCTGGATCCTGTGGCACACCTGGATCCTTTCACAGTCTTAAGTCCAGGTCCTGTGGCACACTCGGATCCCGTTGCAAACCTGGATCCTATTGCACACCTGGATCCCATTGTACACCTGGATCCTATTGCACACCTGGATCCCATTGCACACCTGGATCCCATTGCACACCTGGATCCTGTTTTACACCTGGATCCTGTGGCACACTCAGATCCTGCTGCACACCTGGATCCCGTTGCACACCTGGATCCTGTTTTACACCTGGATCCTGTGGCACACTCAGATCCCATTGCACACCTGGACCCCGTTACACACCTGGATCCCATTGCACACTCACCTTCCCCCTCACCCCCTCTCTCCCTCACACCCGGGGGTCTCATCCCGGTACCTGGGGGTTGCTCCCTCTCACCTGAGCCCCTCCCCCAGGTACCTGGGGGCCTCCCCCTCTCACCTGGGGGTCTCCCCTTCACACCTGCGGGTCCCTCCTCGATACCTGGAGGTCTTTCCCTGACACCTGAGGGATTCCCGCTCACACCTGGGGGTCTCCCCTCGGTACCTGGGTGCCTCCACCTCACACCTGGGGGTCTCCCCTCGGTACCTGGAGGTGTCTCCCTCTCACCTGAGGGTCTCCCCCTCACACCCGGGGCTCTTCCCTCGGTACCTGGGTGCCTCCACCTCACACCTGGGGGTCTCCCCTCGGTACCTGGAGGTGTCTCCCTCACACCTGGGGGTCTCCCCTCGGTACCTGGAGGTGTCTCCCTCTCACCTGAGGGATTCCCCCTCACACCCGTGGCTCTCCCCTCGGTACCTGGGTGCCTCCACCTCTCACCTGGGGGTCTCCCCTCGGTACCTGGGTGCCTCCCGCTCACACCTGGGGGTCTCCCCTCGGTACCTGGNCCCTCGGTACCTGGGTGCCTCCCGCTCACACCTGGGGGTCTCCCCTCGGTACCTGGAGGTGTCTCCCTCACACCTGGGGGTCTCCCCTCGGTACCCGGCCGCCTGCCCCCCTCACCCGTCCCCGCGCCCGCCCCTCCCGGCGCCCGCCGCGGCCCCATCACCTCTCGAGGAAGAGGCGCAGGGCGCGGTCGATGTTCATGCGGTGCCCCACGCGCGTCACGCCCAGGTCGATGTAATCCTCCTTGGTCAGCGCGGGCAGGTGCGTGCCGTCGATCTCGTTGTGCAGGAAGCGCGCCCGGTGCTCGCCCAGGTTCAGCGACTCCAGCCAGTCCGCCACGTCGAACTTGCTCCAGAACGCCAGCGGCTTGGCGCCGAAGGGTTTCCCGGGGGCGGCGGCGCGGGGCGGGGACAGCGAGCGGGCGGCGGGCGGCTCGGGGAAGGCGCCGCGCAGCTCCAGGTAGGCGCCGGCGTAGAGCGGCGCGGCCGGCAGCGCGGGCAGCGAGGCGGGCCGGGGCGCGGGGCTGCCGCGCCGCTCCGACGGCGGCGGCGCCGGGCTGGGCGCGCGGCGCAGCGGCGGGCGCGGCTCCAGCTCCGCGGCCACGCCCACCGCCGGCTTCGGCCAATGGGGGAACAGCGCGGGGCCCGGGGGGAGGGGCTTGGCGGGGGAGGGCGGGGCAGGGGCGGAGGAGTCGGTCAGCCTGGGGGGGAGGGGGGGGCGGGGGGTTAGGGGGGGACGCGGCAGGTGAGGCCACGCCCACTGACCACGCCCCCGAGCCACGCCCACTGACCACGCCCCCGAGCCACGCCCCCGAGCCACGCCAGGTGAGGCCACGCCCACTGACCACGCCCCCGGCCACGCCCGCCCCCCGAGCAACGCCCACGGACACGCCCCCCGAGCCACGCCCCCGGACGCGGCAGGTGAGGCCACGCCCCCCGAGCCACGCCCCCGGACACGCCCCCCGAGCCACGTCCTTCCCTTTAACCCCGAAGTGGGTGGGCAGGTGGGACAGGTACAGGTGTGAACAGGTGTGATGGGTGCAGGTGAGATGGGTGCAGGTGAGATGGGTACAGGTGTGCCAGGTGTGATGGGTACAGGTGTGAACAGGTGTGATGGGTGCAGGTGAGATGGGTACAGGTGTGAACAGGTGTGATGGGTACAGGTGACATGGGTATAGGTATGATGGGCACAGGTGTGACAGGTGTGATGGGTACAGGTGCAATGGGTACATGTGTGACGGGTACAGGTGTGACGGGTACAGGTGTGAAGGGTGCAGGTGTGATGGCTACAGGTGACATGGGTGTAGGTATGATGGGTGCAGGTGTGACAGGTGTGATAGTACAGGTGTGATGGGTGCAGGTGTGACAGGTGTGATGGGCACAGGTGTGATGGGCACAGGTGAGATGGTACAGGTGTGAACAGGTGTGATGGGCACAGGTGTGATGGGTACAGGTGTGAACAGGTGAGATGGGTACAGGTGTGCCAGGTGTGATGGGCATAGGTGTGAAGGGTGCAGGTGAGATGGTACAGGTGTGAACAGGTGTGATGGGCACAGGTGACATGGGTATAGGTATGATGGGTGCAGGTGTGATAGTACAGGTGTGATGGGTATAGGTGTGCCAGGTGTGATGGGTACAGGTGTGAACAGGTGTGATGGGTACAGGTGTGATGGTACAGGTGTGAACAGGTGTGCTGGGCACAGGTGTGACGGACACCACAGGTGCGATGCCCACCCCAATCCATGCAACAGCTGCCACAGGTGTGTTGCAGGTGTGCCA